TTTTTCTCCTTGAGTTGAAAACACGATCATAGACAAGTTGCAATAACCGTATTATCTCATTCGTTTCTTCTGTTAATTAGGATTGCAATTCTTTTTTTTTTCTTTTTAATTTCAGGGCTTCATACTACTCTCGGTTCAAGCACACCTCCCCCAGCTAAGACCCCCACAATGCAACATGATGTCAACAGAATCCCACTGCGTTGAAGCCAAAGGCATCAAAGCCACAATCTTCTTCATTGCTCTCTACTTAGTTGCATTAGGCAGTGGATGCCTGAAACCCAACATGATATCTCATGGGGCTGATCAATTCATTAAGGATGATCCAAAGCAATCAAAGAAACTGTCTACGTACTTCAACTCCGCATACTTCAGCTTTTGTGTTGGTGAGCTTATTGCGCTCACTGTCCTGGTTTGGGTTCAGACTCGGTCAGGGATGGACGTCGGGTTTGGCGTTTCGGCGGCCGCCATGGGGTTTGGGCTGGTGAGTTTGATTTCAGGGATGGTTTTTTACAGGAATAAGAGGCCTCGAGGGAGTATTTTCACTCCCATTGCAAGAGTAAGTAGCTCTTTGTTGGAACAATTTTCAATTTGAATGTAGTAGTTACTCTTTCATTAGTAAGCCATTTAGTGTTTTGATAAGTAAATATTAGCATTTGCATGTAGCTAGAAATGTCTAACAACTCCTGACCAAACACACTCCCGGCAAAATTTAACTTACTTTATATGATGAAACAGAAACGAATCAAGTAAAGAGAAATTTTCCGCTTTTTTTACTTTCTAGAGTTAGTCATGTGATGATTTGGTCTACTATTTTTGTGCAATCATATTTTTGTTACTGATATGACATATCATGTCAATATTGGTAAGAAATATCTCGTATAGTTTAGATTATGTTCACTAGACAGCCAGTTGTTCAAGGAGCGAAGAACCCAGCATTTAGATCGAGTACCAAGTGTTCTGTCGAACAAAATTCTCATAATACTTTTTCCAAAGTTTCCATGAATTGTACTCTTGCATAGGGTTGTGTTATATGCTCATCATGATGACATTTATTCTTTGGTCAAGCTGTTGAAAGGGATATTGGCCCTGTTGGCCTCCTTAGTCCCTACAGTCAAGGCCTAGGAAGAATACCTTTTTTGGTGATAATGTGTTAAGAGTCAAACTACTTGCTTGGTTTAACAATTATTTAACACAAAAGTCATGAAGATTAATGAAAAAGGGTGATATTGTTTATTAATCATGTTGCCTTCTTGCAGTTTTTAAAATTTTTAAGTAAGTGGATAAGGACATAATTTATGGTTAATGCCTACAGTGATTGTTGCCATGATATGGATTATTATAACCTCCATTATAAACTACATCTTTGTATCATATAGAGGAGTATTATGATTATGTTTTTGCTGATTGCCTTTAGTATATGATATTTTTATGCTTTAATTTCCCCTGCCACAAACAATACTTGTCATTCCTTTAGGCTTATAGTTTATTGATTGTGGATCCATGAATTATTGCTGACGACACACAAATCTGTTTTAGGATTTTAAATGATTGTGGACATCCCTAACAAATTACATCTGGAGTGCAAATTTTGGCCTTAACTTGCAAATTTTTTTTTTGGCAGGTTTTTGTGGCTGCAATAACTAAAAGAAAACTAGTGTGCCCATCTAACTCTGCAATTGCCCATCGGTGCAGTAATAATGCAGCTCATGATATCATCTCTTATGGTGGCCTTGATCCATCTTCAAATGTGGGGCACCTCCTTCACACTGAAAAATTCAGGTTAGAGGATTAACAAATTATTTCTGTACTCAACATTTAATCATTTATCTTCAAGTATTAACAATTTCTTAGCAGGTCAATGTTATAAAGTTGTAAGGTAAAAGTGTATAACATAAAGTAGTGAGGAAGAAGAGCGTTTGAGAAAAGTGGGATGTTTTCTGTTCTCTAAAGAGTATTTGCTTTTTATAGTGTAATTTAAACTCAAGAACAATTCAGGATGCTTTATATTGATAACATTCCATGTATTCAACTTTACGACGCAAAACCACAAAAAGAGACAATCTTGTCAAGGGAAAAGGTTGGACGTGGCATATATTCTTGAACAAATTGTTGGGTTTTGGCTACAACTACTCAAATTTGCATTGATAGAACCAAAAATTATCTTAAAACATTTGAGCTATTACATTTAAAATCCACTGTTCTTTTCTTACTTCTTCCAATGAGAGATTACATTCACATTGTGAAATCCTATCGTTCTACTATATCAAAATGCGAAACTTGCGATAATGATTGAGCATTGTAACTTCATGGGCTGAAACCTGAGCTATTCAATATGTTTCTAAAATCTGCTCTAAATGCATGCATGCATTTTGAGATTTGAGTCTGCATTATTCCGATACCATTTTAAAGTCCCCCTATAACTTTGAAGTATTTTTATTTCTTACTAAATTCAATAAATCCCAGGTTCCTTGACAAGGCCTGCATCAGAATCCACACGGAAGACGACGAGAACCCCTGGCGACTCTGCACGGTCAGGGAAGTCGAACAAGCCAAGATCCTCCTCTCCGTCATCCCCATCTTCGCCTGCACGATCATTTTCAATACGGTCCTCGCGCAGCTCCAGACTTTCTCAGTCCAACAAGCATCCTCCATGGACACCCGCCTCTCCCCGTCCTTCTCCATCCCCGCCGCCTCCCTCCAATCCATCCCCTACCTCCTCCTCCTCGCCCTCGTCCCCCTCTATGAAACCTCCTTCATCCCCTTCGCTCGAAAACTGGCCAACAACGAGCATGGCGTAACTCCGTTGCAGCGCATTGGCGTTGGCTTGCTGACGGTAACACTCTCCATGCTGTCCGCAGCCTTGGTCGAAAAAAGGAGAAGGGAGGTTCATTTGGACAGCGGAAGGTTGCTGTCGGTGTTCTGGATCGCGCCGCAGTTTGTCATCTTCGGGGTCTCTGAGATGTTCACTGCGGTCGGGCTAATTGAGTTCTTTTACACCCAGAGTTTGGTGGGAATGCAGAGCTTCTTGACCGCAATGACTTACTGCTCGTATTCATTTGGGTTTTACCTGAGCTCGGTGTTGGTGTCCTTGGTGAACAGGATCACTTCAGCCTCTTCAAATAAGGGTTGGCTCGGTGATAATGACTTGAATAAGGATAGGTTGGATCTTTTCTACTGGATGTTGGGTGGGCTTAGTTTGCTAAATTTCTTTAACTATCTGTATTGGGCAAGGTGGTACTCTAACAGTCCAAGGTTGTTGGTGCCAAATCCAACAGTTGATGAAGAAGCCAAGTGAGCAAATAAAAATAACCCCTTAGTTTGTAGTTGAGCTTGTATTTGGGTAAAGGTGGGAAAATTGTGTAAAAGGGTGGTAGAAATTAAGATGTAATGTTAAAAAAGTTGTAGAGCCGAGTTCAGTATGTAGCGGAGAAAGCTTGGTGATGACTTCATGGTCACCTAGTCCTTGATTTGCTTCAAGGATGTTTAAGGAGGAGATCTATGTTATTACTTAAAGCACATTAAAGCACATTAAAGCCCAAGGATTGAATAAAATTATAGTCAGGGTCTTTACTGTTGAGCGCTGCGGAAGCCAAACAACCAAACCAACGTGCTACGAGAAATCAAATCAAACGAACATCGAGAGAAGACCAAACGAACCAAATCAATGCCACAAATACAAACAACCAATTTTAACGTGGTTCGGCAAGTTGCCTACGTCCACGGGTCAAGAAGGGGATAGGGTTTTTCACTAATAGAGAAAACGAGTACAAACTGAGATTATAAATCACTCAAACTCACCAATTAATCTCACCAACAAATCTATAATTCTCTCCAAACAAAACCCTAACCAATAGCTCAGAAAATACCTCTTTCCTATGCTCCAAATATCCCCAATTTTCTTCTCAATTCTCTCTTCCAATTGTTCCATATATATAGAAATCCTAAAATCATAAACATAATAGGAATTCTAAAACAAAAAACAAAACAGATTAAGATTCCTAATAACATGTTACCAAAACAGATTTGGAATCATGTTACCAAAACAGATTAGGAATCCCAATAACCTATTACCAAAATAAATTAGGAAACATATTAGTAACCTGCTATCCAACAATGCTCCACATCGGCGAAGTTTTCCTAAAACTGAGCCAACACCAATACCAACCAAACGTCTCATTTGTTGCGTCCAGTACGAAGTGGAACAAATCCATGACAACGGACTCAATCCACAACAAGTCGAGAACACAAACGAGAATACGAACAAACTCTAAATGTCGGTATCAACTCACCAAACCGGCTGCATCATAAATGACCACCTACGTATCCTCTTGCCCAAGGAATCAAGCCTTTAAGTAGTTCACCCAAACGGCCTCCAAAGGCCATCAATCAAATAGAAAAGTTTACAACTTTTCACCAATATCACCAACGGGTCTGTAACTAATAGCGCTCCCAATGGCCCCAAACTAAAACAAATCAAACATCTCCACCTGAGGTGAACCAATGGCCGTATCCAAAACATGTCCACCAGCTGCACTCGAATCCAAAACCAACTGAGGTGAACCAATGGCCGTATCCAAAACATGTCCACCAGCTGCACTCGAATCCAAAACCAACTCATCACCTGCATCCAAATCTGGCCGTATCCAAAACATGTCCACCAGCTGCACTCGAATCCAAAACCAACTCATCACCTGCATCCAAATCTAAATGATCTCCAAACTGTATCACCTCAGCTAGAATCCCAAACGTTACAGTATGATCTGGAGTATGTGGAGTAATCTCCACCTAATATGAAGTAGCATCACCCTCCACCCGTTGTGATATCCCAATGATCTGATCAACACTCTTCACCTGCCGAGAGTCAAATATGACATACCTGCTCAGAACAAAATCAGAAGCTCCTAACTGATAATCAAACGAACCTCTGAATCCCAAATGTGTAATCAGATCAAATCTCACATCCTCGATGTGACCAAATGTTGGGCAACCAAATATCCGACGTAACCCAAAATCTGAAGCCGCTCCATCAGATCCAAAATCTCCACACATAGCAGTCGACAACCTATGACCAAGATGACTCAAATATGTCGAAGCTCTAAAACCAAAACCAATGCTCGACAATCAACACCGATCCCCCTCCAGTAAGGAACGACCCATCAAAACTATCATCTCATCTCGATGTCCCAATGTCTCCACATCAATGAAGTGTCTCAAACTACCATGAGCTCGGCACAAATATAAGAAAGAACCCCTACCAAAGCTAGAACGACGGTTTACCTTTCTGCCAATATACTTCTTCCAATTGTTGTTGACTTCTAGGACTTCACACCAATGAGACCTAGTTGTAACCCACCAATGCCTAGAATAATCCCTAACTGTGGAAACCAAATACCGATTACCTCCCAATAATGTCTTCTTGGAAGGCCCCCAAATGTCTGACTGAACATCACCTAAAAGACTCCCCGATTGATGGGTAGAAGTGACAAACTCCACCTCGGTCTTTTTTCTCATACCAATGTTCTCAAAGGACTTTAATCTGCAGGTCAAAACACTCCTCAACAAATCATGCACGACATAACCAATCAAATAACCCAGCCTCAACAAATGTCATAGTCTAGCCAAATCCAAAGAAGTCGTCAGCTCTCTATCAAACACCATGCTCTTAATCAAATAATACAAATTATTCCTCCTGACGCCCCTCATCACAATCATGGATCCCAATGTGACCTTCAAACGTGAATTGATCAAGGTCATCCTATACCATGCCGCCTCCAAAACTCCAAGTGAAATGATGTTCTTCTTCAACTAAGGAACGAACCTCACTCCAACCAACTCCTAAATCACTCTGTCACTCATCCTAATCCGAACAGTACCGATACCACCAATAGGACATTCATGATCATTACCTATGAGCATGACCTCCCCTCTTTCCAACTCCTGAAAGCTGGAGAACCAATCCCTCCTAGGGCAAATATGGTAAGAAGCACCCGAATCCAACATCCACTCTGTAGAGTCGGCAACACAAACTGACGGTAGTGCAGATAACGAGTAGCTTGAAGAATCAGAATCTGAATTATTGTCACTAGCCTTGACAACATTTACCTCTGAAGCTTGAATAGCTTTCCTCTTATTCTTCCCGGCTCGATAAACCAACTTTGGGCATTCGGCTTTTCAATGTCCATCCTCTTTATAAAAAGCACACTGATTCCTACAAACTCCAAGATGTGCCCCTCTAGACTACGACCTCTTACCACGGTTTGAACTCTTTGCTCTTGCGACCAATGCCCCCGCTACCGGCTCAACTGAAGTCTCATTATCCTTCTTTCGAAGTTGATAATTCACAAGTGCAGCGGTGACCTCACTATAAGAAAGAGATACCTTCCTATTAATAAGAGTAAGAACGAAGGTGTAGACGGTAAAAAATACCTCTATGGGTCTACAGGGAATTTGTCTACGAGAAGAGTTCGCACGCCCAGTTCTCTGACACGAACCTAAACCGCGTAGACGTCGACTGGGCTCAAATCCAGGTTCGCCTAACGGTCGACTCGCCAGCATGAGTCAGGAGCGATCAGGATGGCGGAAATTTGCTCTTCGCTCAACTCGCCTGCCCGAGTTCGGAGTCGAATCCGCCAGCAAGCCCCAAAACCGTCAGTACAGCTGGGTATCCACTACCCCACGCGCTGAGGTAGGCCTTCCCACCTCTCTCGACCCAAAGGGAGAGAGAGCACAGTACCCCAGGGCCGTCAAAACGGCCGCCCACAGTGCGCACAGCGCGAAGGAGCTGGACAGGTGTCGAGTCAACCTGAGCATTCATAAATGCGACTCACCTCGGCTGTCTGAGTCTGGAGCTGGGTCCGCCGGCACTCGGCAAGCTGGCTAGACTCACTCGAGTACTGTACACCTACTTCACCGCCTCTCCTGACCGGAAAGGAGAAAGCGTCGTGCTCAAAGCACGCCGGGCGGTCACGCACAGTACTGGTGATCGGACAGACGCCTCATCGATCTGCGGACTCATAAATGCGGTTCATTAATGCTGGTCAAATCCACTCGGATAGTAGTCGTTTGTTGCCTCACATACAAGAATGGGCCTTCCCATCGTAGGTGACAGGACATAAAGCACAATCCCTGGAATGACCGATCATGGTTTCGAGGAACAGCTAGACGTCTCTGAAGAAGATGTGGTCACATCCCACAATTCAAGGAGGAGTCAAGTTGTCCTTCTCCCATTTAAAAGCCTCTTCCGGCACACTGGAGAGGAGGTCGCAAAACTTAGGAAAAAGAGTTGAGACCAAGCTCTCTGCACAACTTTCTTTGCATTGCAGCACTACTGCTTAGTTCCGAGCTCCGATCGCCGGCGAACTAAACAGACCCGAACTCTCTCAAGTTGAGCTTCTACTGCGAACTGAAGCTCTCCAGCAACCTCATTCGAACGGTCCAAGGGAAGCAGACTCGACACGAGCATCGAGCGAAGCATCCTGTAGCCACCTAAAAGTCCCCACACAAAACAAAGAGGGCCTTCCCTCTGCTTCTGTTGTAACTATTTGATCATTAGTTTGTAATAAGCCTTCTTATAAATACAAACGAAACTCCCTCTTTCGGGAAATCAAATATTCACCCTACAGAAGATGGCGACCACAGTGGGAGAAGCTGTTTCATCGAGTGAAATGGTGGTGGCTCAGTTTGATGAGGTTGCTGTAGGGACGACAGTGGAGTCCCTAGAAATTGAGTTCGACCAGGCCAAGTACGAAGAGTACTTGTCCTCCTCCTCCTCTGGTGGCGATGCGTCCCGCAAACGTCACAGAGTCGTGCGTCGAGGCCGACCTCAGACGGTCAAAGCCTCTGCACCTACGGGTTCTACCCGAGTCTCATCGGAAGAACCCGTTCCCTCACAATCGATCAACGCCAAGCCGGGGGTCGAGCGCAAAGGGCAAGGGTCTGCCAAATGGGTCGCCAAGCGATCCCCGCAGACACCTACCCCGAAGGGAACGCCGGTTCACTCCGGCACAAACCACGCTGCCACAGCTCGCGGTGACGTTCTCCCCGTTGGGAGAACTAACCAACAGCGGCGGCAGGAACTCGTCAGACAGGAGGTCCAAACCTCCGTTCCTCATAACGGCCTGAGCCATCATACGGGCCCGAGGAACGCTAGGCGAGAAGGCAAACTGCCCGACATTGGGAGGCCCTCCAAGTCAGGAGCGCCAACTGAGGAAGGCAGAGCCGCCCGCTCGGGAAGACTTCGCTTCTCAGGTCATATCCCTGATGCGAATAACTCACTTCCAAGGAGTGAGCCTACCCGAGTAGGCGAATCCTCGAAGGCTGGCGAGCCTCGTCATAACCATTTGACGGATAAACGTAAAGGTAGAGAAGTAGGCGAGTCCTCGCGAACCCGTTCTTCCAGGCGAAGGGGTGAAACCCGCCC